CTTTCCCCCCAAAAAAACCCTCCTTCTCCGGCACCCGCTGATCCCCAGGGGAAATGACAGCGCCGGGCAGGGGCGGGGGTCAGGGGGGAATCCCCTCCAAGACCCGCCCCCACCAGGGCAGTCCCAGGCTCCAGAGAAGTGACGTTAAGCACATACCCCCAAAATGCCTAAAACTGTCCCAAAACAAACAAACAACCGAGGGTTAGAATAACTGTCTAGTAGGTGTGAAACGCACCTGCTCCAAAGCTCTTGGCTTCTTCGGGAACCATCTGTAAGCAGAAAAACTACAACCACCACCAAGAGCACAGACCCCCAATGGCTTCCGAGTAGATGAGTCGCTTTGAACAAACGGATAAATAAAGGAAAGAGAAATGAGTTTCCCTGAAAACACCAACTGTGCACAGCTCCAACTTTCCTCCACCAAAGGCTCGCACGAGGGCAAGATGCTTCTTTAAACAGAAAATATATAAATATATGTACACGCACACACACATATATATATATTCATGTATACGTTAAAATGGAAGAAAAAGTAACTAAAACAGCCATGAACTCATTCAGCAGTTCGTACCTTTGATGACTAAATCCTTGAAGCAAACATTTTCAGGTTAAAAAATAAAAACACCTTTTTTTTCTTCCCTCCACCCCCTTCATTTTCTTCCTCTTCTTGCTTGCTATTAGACTATAGGGCTGCTTCAGGACTTCAAGCTTTAGAGGATTTAGTTCCTTTGGGTTTATTTCCTTTAAATAAAAATATTACGCTCATTTTATTTTTATCGCTCCTTGTTGCCTCCCACGAGCGCGATCCAACGAGCCCTCGAAGCTCCCCAAGAGCGGCCGGCCAGGCAGAACAGCAGTATCACAAAAGCTCCCTTCCCATTGGTCGTCAGGTCCAGTTGCGCCTTCCTATTGGCTCCCGCGATCACCCAATGAGAATGCGCCTTTCCGAGCCGCCCGTGGGAGCGAAGCTGAGCTCCGAGCACCGCTGGAGGAGGTAGAATAAAGTGAGGGTGAAAATAAATCTCCCCGCTTTTCGGCTGCAGTTTTCTCGGTTGTATAGCTCACAAATGGCTTTCCGGTATCTTCTCCAAGGCTCAGTCTGCACACACAGGCTCCTCGTTTTCTCAGAAGTTGCATTAACATCACCAGACACCACTACCCTGTAGCTACATAGTTAAGGTGAACACATCTCACCTGCTCCACCCTCCAATTACACGTGAGCAGTGAAGCCCAAGTGCTTCCAACTGAGCTAAACAGCAAGAAATCTTTGCATTAAGGAAATCAATTAGAAACCACTGCTCTCAAAACATGAAACCATCACAGCATCAATACCAGTTTTTGATGATAAACAGGCTTTAACCAAATTGCTGTAACTTATGCTCCCTGGCAGAAAGTATTAAATCAAATTGCTCCTTTACAGCGCCATAAGACAATAAAAAGCAGCTTCTTAAAGCTGCTTCACTCCTCTGCATTTCAGCTGATTTCCAGAGCGCAACAGCGTGGGCTGCCACAGCAGCTGCCTGCCCAGCGAGGCCCTTTGGGGCGCCAGGGACCCCCTGCAGCAGCTACAGAAACAGCAAGACGCAAAGGAGCCGACGGCGACACGCCAGGGAAGGACGGAGCTTGCGCCGGAGCATCGCGACGGGCACCGCAGCCGGCGTTTTGAAGCGTTTTGTTGCGATATTAGAAGTTTTCGAGAGACTTCCCGGGGGTCTTCGGCAGCGGCCCGCTCCCGCCGCGCGCTCTATGACACTGAGCACGGCCCCTCGCGCTCCGCTCCCTTTTATAACCGGCCTGGCGCGCGCTGATTGGCCGCCGCCCACCGTGCCGGCGCCCCATTGGCTGCTCCGCCCCCGCCCACCCGCTCCACTGTAGGAGCGAACGGGGGGGAGGAGCGTTGGTGCGGACCTGAGGGAGAACCGCGGAGGGGGCGGGGCTCGGGGGCGCCGCCGTTCCCGCCAAAAGCGGGAGGARGGGAGGGTGAAGTTGCTAAAATCACTTTTTTTTCGGGCCATTTTCGGCGACAGGAAATGCTTTTGATCGCGGAAAAGAGGGCCGAAAATACCGACCGTCCCCCAGCTTTTCCCCAGAGAGAGCGCAAATCCCAAGACTTTTCCCTATAGCCTCACGGGGCAGCTGACATATAGATGGGGGTATAGGGTCCTGGCCTGACAGCTCCATGGAGGGCCTGGACCCTATAGCCCAGGACGCAGCCCCTATAGCCCCGTATAGGGATCAGGCCATATAGTGTCCCAGAGGGACGGGACTGCAGAGCA